TGTAGTACGTGATGTTTTCTCAGGCGTTCGCCTTGCCTACCCTGTGAGTAGGCGGGACACGCAAGCGCATGTCAAAAACTTCCGTCAGTTCATGGGCCTTCGGGCCACTGATTCGCCGCCAGCATGTCTAATAAAAATGGATGCAGCAGGAGAGCTCGAAGGAGCGGCCCACGAAGTCGGTCTCGTCCCAGAGACAAGCTTGCCCAACAGGTGGCCTCACAACACCGTCCTGGAGCGCGACATTCGCGAAGAGAAGGAATGCTGTCGCAGCATCCACTTGCAGTCTGGGTTGCCCTATTCGTTGCATACGTTTAGCTACCCATTTGCATGCCTCTCCATGTCGTTCGACAGGCCTGCTCCATTCAGCCCCGGTAAAACCCAATGGGAAGCCCTCACAAAGGAAAAGTTCCAAGGGAAGAGATGCTGTTTCGGACAATTGGTTTGGTACAGAACCAAGACTCCTGGCAAGCGCACTCTCGATCCGAACATGGCGCCAGCGCTCTTTTTGGGTTGGAGGGTCGATCCGGGGTTGCGGTACCGTAACGTGGTCAAAGTCATGGACTATGAAGCCTTCCGTAAAGACGGTTCCATTTCCGTTCACGATGTTCCTGAACCGGAATTGTTCGTTGAGGACGGACCCCCAAGCTTTCCGATCGCAGCAGCAGCAGATAGAGCATTGCATGGTGGCAAGACAGAAGGGTCTGATCCCCCACCTTTGCCCCTGCGAGAGGCGCCCTTTGGGGCCCCACCGACTCCATCCGCTGTCAAGTCAAAATCCGTGTACATAACTGTTGAGAGGATCATCAAGTTCAAGGAAACGCCAGGTTGTCGTGCATGCACCGGTCATTCCAAGATTCACAGTGCCGAATGCAAGAAGAGGTTCTCCGAACTTGTTTCTGCAGATCGAGCTGAAGCAGCTGCAAAAAGCGCTGCCAAAACTGAATCTAAGGAACCCATTCCCATTGTTCATACTGAAGGGGATGAGGAGCTAGCCAGAGCAATCCACGCATCCGAGCATGAGGAGGATCCTAAAACCGCAGTTAGTGCAGAAGACGTTGCGCATGAATTTGATGCAGCCGAAGCTGGGGAGCCCGCTCCCTCAAGACCCGGTGCCTCATTTTTCGATACCGCGCCAGCGACAGCCGCTACATCGCAAGGTGAAGATTTTTGGGTGTTCAAAGAAAATGCCAACTGTTTGGTTCGGTACCATATCATGCCAAGGCAGAATCTTTTTACCCCAAAGGAGGTCGAGGATTGCCCCGTTTCCCCAGAAAGATTTACTGCAGCTCGCACCACTCGTGCCGTGTTTCAGGGGGGCAAAGCAGACAACATTCACGATGGTTGGTTTGGTAGCCGACCTAATCGCTCACTTGGAGATCCATGGACGGGGTTCACAGTGTTCAAGTTAAAACCCATTCAGTCCGATTGTGTTATCACCACAGGTGCAGCCGTGATGTTAGACTCCGTACCGCCGACACCTCTCACCGAAGCGTCAAAGAACGGTCGTCCAGATACATTGCCAATTTTTGGCATGCCGTGCAGCGCAGAGGTTGAAGCTCCGCAGCGCAAGCAGTTTGAGGTAGGAAATCATCGTGCCCGCAAGCGACAGGCACGCATTGACAAGTTGCCTGTGATGTTCGAATACGCATGTTCACCAGAGTCCAATATGGGTCGCGTGTTTGAAGGTCTTGGCATACCTCATGTTAGGCTGGCTAAAGAGTTTATCGACCTTAGCACAGATGAAGGAGAAATCCAGTTGCAGTCGCAGATTGAAAGTTGTGACAAACCCAATCTCTGGGCTGCAATCCCCTGCACATCAGGTTCAGCATGGCAACGCCTTAATAAGGCCAAGTTAGGAAGCCAGTTCAAAAAGAAACTGAAGCAAAAGGTTAGAGAGTCGAGAGAGTTGTTCTCCAGATTCAGACGTCACGCTGAGGCTGTCCTCCATCAGGGGGGTAGTGTTTTCGTTTGAGTGGCCAAGGGATTGCGACAGCTGGGCTAGGGATGATGTTTCTGCATTCTTTAGGGAATACGCACAGGTCTTCACCCCAGCGACCTTCCACGGTTGCGCCCTAGGTCTGAAGGACAGCAATGGCTATCCCATCAAAAAGCCATGGAAAGTCATGACCAGCAATAGCACCCTCGCATCCGCGCTAAGTGCATTCAAGTGTCCGCACGAAAAAGGGTATAAACACGCTTGCAGCAGGTAACAAGACCGCAAAGACCGCTTTCTACCCCGAAGGCATGTGTCTCACAGTTGCCCGTGCGCTGTATCCGACAGTTCAACCCGTTGTGCCTGCGATGCCTGTCCAAGTGCCATTGCCTCTCGATCACCGGGAACGTGAGCAGCAGTTGAAACACATATCCCCTCTCTCTGGTTTGGAAGATATAGGTATTGCTGTTGAGTCCGATGAAAAGTGTCACGACATCCTTGAACAAGTTCTTGATGTTGAAAATCTCATCGCACATTCCCTAGGACAAGTCAAGGAGGAGAAGGATCCTGAAATCACCGCAATGGTGACCAGACTCTTGTCACGTGCCGAAATGTTGGCTTCCCCGGAAGCCCTTGAAGCCGTTCGACTTGAAGCCACAGGCCTGGAGAAAGCCGGTGTTTGGGATCTAAATTCAGTCCGAGAGTATGATCAAGTCGCTGCTGAGGCGCGACGATCCAGTATAAAAGTTCATTTCGGGCAGTTGATGTCGCTAGCATCCGTCAAGTTCGCCGAACTCGCGAAACACCTTCAGAAGATGAAAGGTAGGATTGTGTATCGCGGAGACTGTGCGAAAGACGAACATGGCGCAGCAGCCGTCTACCAAGAATTGGGAGCAAATCCCACGAGCGTACAAGGTCTTAATAACTGTCTCGCTTATGGATCCCTGCCAGGGAATTCCACCACAACAGCGGACGCTATAAAGGCTTATGTGCAAGCGCTGCTGAAATCCAAGTACCAAACTTGGATCACACTCCCGCCTGAGCTCCGGCCAAGGTGGTGGCGCGAGCGTTTCGTGAAACCTGTGGTTTTGCTCGTTAAAGCTCTTTATGGGCATCCTGACGCTGGCGGACTCTGGGAGGCACACCTCAAAGGTTTCATTAGTGAACTTGGAGGGCGTGAGGTCGCAGAATTTTTTGGAAACTTCTGGTTCAAGGAGTCCGGGTTACTTCTCTCGACATACGTCGACGACTTGACGTTGGCCGGCCCCAGCCACCTTTATAAAGACTTCTGGGAAAAGTTAACAAGACTGGTTGATATAGAACCCCCAGAAGACATATATCGGGTGCTAGGCAGGAATCACCTTTTGATAGATGCTCCAAAGGACCCAACTGAACCCGATCTTAATGCCGCAATGGGCAGATTGAAAGGGGGCATGGCGTTCGACATGCGAGATTATGCTCGTCAAACCGTTGCATTGTATCTTGAGGTTGCACAGCTAAAAACTGAAAAGTTGCGTGATGCCACCACTCCATTCTGTCCCGCTGGATCCCTAGACCCTGCGGATGACGCCTTGGAGGGTGAGCTCGGCTTCGCCGCTTGCCGCGTGTTGATGAAAGCCTTGTGGCTCGGCCGTTTGGCACGACCGGACCTGGTCAAGCCCATTGGCGACCTTGCCTCTTTTGTTCAGAAATGGTCTAGAAACTGCGATAAGCAGCTACATAGGCTTGTCTGCTACATAAACAGCACGGTCAACAGCACGCTAGTTGGCACAGTTCAGGATTCGACTGATGAGTTGCATCTGTCTCTCTATGTGGACGCCGATTTCGCTGGAGAACGAGACGCAAAATCTACGTCCGGAGGATTCTTGATTTTGAGTGGTCCGCACACGCATTTCCCCCTTGCGTGGGTGTCTAAAAGGCAGACCTCGGTCTCCCGATCGACAACCGAGGCGGAGATCGTGTCTCTTGCGTACTCCCTGTACCAGGAGGCTCTCCCAGCGCTCAGCTTATGGGAGCTGATCTTGGACCGACCATTCCATCTCAAGATCCACGAGGACAATCAGGCGACTATCCTCGTAGCAAGGAAAGGTTTCTCATCCAAGCTACGCTGTGTCCAGCGAACACACAAGGTGAACCTCGCGTGCATCGCAGAGCAGCTTGAAAGCGAACACATCTCGATAGAATACGTCCAAACAGACATGCAGTCAGCAGACATCTTCACGAAAGCACTTCCACCCAACAAGTGGGACCATGCCATCCGGTTGCTCGGCATTCGTGTTGACCTTCCAGAGAAGCTTGAAGACGTTCGTGAAAGTAGATCCGCTAAAGCAGCTGCCTAGTGCGCTGCAGCATGCCTGCAAAATTTCCAAAAGTGTGCAAGTGACTGGGCGACGCTTGAATAACTTGCGTCAGTCGTTGTGATGTAAACTTGACTTCAAGTTGGCGTGGTAATGCGCCCAAGACACTCCCTCAGTGCCGTCAATGAGGGGGGAGTCAATTATCACGATGACATTTATGGCCCAGAGGTACAACAGGTTGCATGATGTACATTCAAGTCAATGCCCAAGCATGACACGATCATTGCTTTGGCTCAAGGCTCAAGTGCTGAAAAGAGCGCGTTGCTCGCGCTACCCACAAGGTTAAGGGAGAGGTCGCAGTCACGGAGGGGTTCGTTCCTTTTAAGGTCCCGGGTTCCCCCGTTGTTGACAAAACTGTGTTTCCCTCTCCTTTGAGCCAGGGTTGTGGAATCAAGGGGTTTATTCCCACTTCTGTGATACAAGGGAATCTCCCCCTGTATATGGTGTTAGTCTTTGGGAAGCCCTTTTTGTTGTATCACAGAAGTGGTCATTTCCCCACAACCCTGCTCCTGGTTGATTTAGGAAGGAGCAACCCATTTTAGAAGTCCGAATATCAAATCCACGTCGAGTACATCATCCGGGGTCGACTGTACAGGCCTAAAACGAAGAGGAGTCAAAACACGAACGTCGGCAAAAAATAAGATGCAGCGAGCTACTTTTTTTTCCCCCCGCTCGCTGGGCCCTGCAGCGCGCCAAAGCGGGTGTGCCAGGACCTAGACCTCCGCACCAGCACTCAAAGCACCACCCTGGCGCCGCGCTGGGGCGAGGACCCATCGGGGCCGTCCCAAAGAACCTGGGCCCCGAAAGAGCAAAAGAAGATGGGCTCGTCATTTTTTTGGAGGGCGCCCCTTTTTGGGCTCATTTTGCGGAAAAGCGAAGGAACATTATAGTTTGGGGGGTCCCCTATTTTAAGACACGCCCACGGTTGTGGGGAGCTTCTCAAGAAGGATTTATCTCATGGTTAACAGGGACCCTATCAGGCGCTAGGCGCTAATTGGCCTTATTTGTCGCTATTAGCCCCTATTAGGATGGGGGGGCCCTTGACAACCATTGGATAAGGCCTGGCTGAATACGAGCTGCTTTGGGCCCCATGAACTATTTGTGAAGGATTCCAATCATCAAAATTCATAGCCAAATTTAAAGAACAACTTCCCATGTTGCCCAGTTTTGACTTGCTGCCAGGGTCGGAGGCCCCCGCCCCTCAAAATTGGTCGACTCCCCCACTAAGGTTGTGTCATTCATGTTTTCGAGTTGCCGCCCACGTTTTTTGCATTGTTTTTACCCTTTTCCAGATGCGTCTTGAGCCATGCGGCGGGCGTGCCACATGTGTGTGGTGTGTTTCAGCACCATTCCAAATCAAAACGGCGAGTGACTCACAGTTTTAAAGGAAAATTGACAGGAAAACAACCTTTTGGGGGGGTCCTAAAAGCAGACGAGCCATCCATGAGGTTTTGGGCCACAAGTGGTATAGATTTGTACTCGTTTTTCGGTTCAGTTCCATTTCGACCTTTGGACCGTTGGATTGTCCAGTTTCGAGGTCCCAAAGAGCCCCCAAAAGGGCGGCATCCGGAAATCAAGGGAAGGCAATGGAAACTAATGGACACCCATTCAAAGAAGCAGCCTGAAAAAGGGTGGAACGAGCCATGGGAAAGATATGGGCCAAAAGGGTTTGGGTCAAAGTTAAACCAGGATTTGGATCGCGGGTGTTCGTCATTTCCAAGGGTCGCCATTTCGGGGTTGCAGTATTTTGACCCACACCCAAATGGCAGAAATGGGAGAAGGGAGAAGCGTTGAGAAGAGCAACGTAGCAGGACTTCTGCTTGAGCATCTACCGGCCGGAGTCCGTGCTGACACTCTTGGTGCATGACGAGGAGTGTGCTTGAGATTCGAGCCTTCCATTCGATGGCTTTGTCTCATGGGATTTGGCGATTTATTATATGTCAAAATAATTATTCCCCCCCTCAAAACAAAGACAAACACGGTGCGCAAAACAGAAAAAAACTAGAAAACAACTACGGTGCTTCTATTCTTGGTTTCTCTTAAGGTGACTTCAGGGTCGCCTACATCGAGCCCCGAGAGATGGGCTTTAGGGTCTCAACTTTTGCTTTCCCACTACACAAAAGGGCACAGATCACGGCCAAAATGACCAAAATGAGTCCGTTTTCCCGAAAGCATGGCGAAGGGTTCTTCCGCTGGGTTCACTTGAATTGTTCTCATGAGAGTCATTACAAGGTGTCATTGCAAGGAATCATCATCATGAAAGTGCAAGGAGTCATTGCAAGGAGTCATTGCAAGGAGTCATTGCAAGGAGTCATTGCAAGGAGTCATTGCAAGGAGTCATTGCAAGGAGTCATTGCAAGGAGTCATGGCAAGGATTGCAACTTGCACTTGACTCCTTGCACTTGCAACTTGCACTTGACTCCTTGCACTTGCAACTTGCACTTGACTCCATGCACTTGCAACTTGCACTTGACTCCATGCACTTGGCTCCTTGCACTTGGCTCCTTGCACTTGGCTCCTTGCACTTGCAACTTGCACTTAACTCCGTGCACTTGCGACTTGCACTTGACTCCATGCACTTGGCTCCTTGGCTCCTTGCAACTCCTTGCATGATGGCTCTTGCAATGACTCCTTGCAATGACTCCTTGCAATGACTCCTTGCAATGACTCCTTGCAATGACTCCTTGCAATGACTCCTTGCAATGACTCCTTGCAATGACTCCTTGCAATGACTCCCAATGACTCCTTGCAATGACTCCTTGCAATGACTCCTTGCAATGACTCCTTGCAATGACTCCTTGCAATGACTCCTTGAAACAAGCAAGGAGTCAAGTGCAAGTTGCAAGTGCAAGGAGTCAAGTGCAATTGACTTGCGAGGAGTTAAAATCTCTTCTTAGGGCGGCGGGGTAGTGCCGACGACACTACACGAAAATCGACCCTCTGCGGGGATCGGCGTGGTCGAGGTGCAAAAACCCATGGTTTTTTGCGATTTCTAACCTGCTCGCGCGACCCTCTGCGGGGATCGGCGTGGTCGAGGTGCAAAAACCCATGGTTTTTTTGCGATTTCTGCGGTGCTCGCGCGACCCTCTGCGGGGATCGGCGTGGTCGAGGTGCAAAAACCCATGGTTTTTTGCGATTTCTAACCTGCTCGCGCGACCCTCTGCGGGGATCGGCGTGGTCGAGGTGCAAAAACCCATGGTTTTTTGCGATTTCTGCGGTGCTCGCGCAACCCTCTGCGGGAATCGGCGTGGTCGAGGTGCAAAAACTCAAGGTTTTTTGCGGCTTTTGTTGTTCGAACTGGTCCTCGGGAGTTGTTTCGTGGTTCGCGCGCCTGCTCCCGGAACCGGCGGGTCGCGGGTTCGATTCCTCCCTGGTCCGCGGGCGGGCGTCGCAAGATGCAACTTGCATTTTACAGCAACTTGCGCAGAGCAACTTGCGCAGAGCAAGTTGCACAGAGCAACTTGCGCAGACCAACTTGCACCGACCAGTTTGCGCAGAGCGCCTTGCCTAGAGCAACTTGCGCAGAGCAACTTACGCAGAGCAACTTGCACAGAGCAACTTGCACAGAGCAGCTTGCACAGAGCAACTTGCAGGGAGCGCAATTTGCACAGAGCAACTTGCAGGGAGCCACTTGCAGGGACCAACTTGCCGGAGCAACTTGCGCGGAGCAACTTGCGCAGAGCAACTTGCACAGTGCAACTTGCGTAGAGCAACTTGCGCAGACCAACTTGCACCGACCAGTTTGCGCAGAGCACCTTGCCTGGTGCTGTCTCGCGCTTGCTTCACGAAGTGTAGGGAAAAAGAACGCATCCTGCAGCGTTGGGCCGACCTCGCTTGCGATGTTCTGCTTTCGGGCCAACCGTGGTCTAGTATTTTTGTTTGGAGGAGGAGAACGGTGGACAACCTGAGTTTCCTAGAAACATCGGGAAACACCGCCCAATTTCCAAACGCGAAGCCTTGGGGAAGAAAGATGGCTGTGGATCATATGGAATCGGGAGTTTGGCCTGCAACGAAAGCCCGGAGCGGGAACCCTGGCAATTGCGGTTTTTTTTTGAAGAGGCGCGCACGGAGTACTGGTCGTACCCTTCTTGGCGGGGGAAATCGCCTTTCCCTCTTCTTTCACTCTTTGCGGCCCTTTTGATTCTTTACATTGGACCCTCACCAGGTGTTGAGTGCAACTCACTTGAGTGTGTATACGTAGCTTTTTGGTTCGCAAACCAACGGTAAACCGCCTAGTTTCTCACCCCAAAGCGAATCGACAGTTTCCCCTTTTTGTTCCATTCTTTGTGGCCCCAACAGGTGATCACCTTCTATTTCTGGGTCCAAACTACACAAGTGAGCAGGTTTGTTCCGCTTTTTCGGGGTTGGCTGAATAAATACCAACAGTTTTCTCCACCCATGGACACAAGAAATCTGTCGTTGTTCCCAAAACTCGCCTTTTGCCCCAAAGAATCCGCCGTTGGGAAAACCACAAGCTTGTTGTGTTGGTTTTTTACACAAGATGTCTGCCCAAATATACACTTTTTTGGGCTCGGAAATCATCAGTTGTCTCCACCCACAAACAACAAATTATTAAGACCAACAGCTTTCCGCCCATAGACACTTTTAGTCAGCCAGCTGTTCTTTCCCTAAGAAAAGTCCGCAAGAGCAACATCCTTGGTTAAATACAACAACAGCTCTTTTCTTCCCATCCATCCAATTTGTCCGCCCCTTTTGCCCCAAAAACATCCACCCCCACCCCCCCTCCCCACCCCCCCATTCCAAGCCTCAGCGCATCTCGTGAGGACTTCGGGAACGAGGCCTCGCTGGGTTTCGCGGGGTCGCTGGTGGGGTTGAGCGACGACCTGCTGGGCTACGTGGACATCGCCGTCGCGCGGCTGCCGCTGAACACCCGGCTCTCGGGATGGTTCGACCTCTATGAGGCGGGTGCAACTTCGCGTTGCGGAGGGATTGACTGCGGTCAGGTGTCCTTTGTGGTGGTTTTGGCTCGAAAAATAGATGGCGATTCCTGGTTTACCTGGTTGTTTTTTCTCATCTAGCAGGGAAACCCATCTACTTCCTCTAAATGGACACCTATGGCGACGACGCTTTCTTTATCCGCTCCGGGGGGATTTTCATTTGGGCGGCTTTCAACTCCACCAGAGGTTTTAGGGCGGTGAGAATAAGGCGGGAAGTCTTTGGACAGATTTGGATCTGGGCGGTTTTCAACTCCACCAGAGGTTTTAGCCGGCCGGAAACTGAGGCTTTTCGTGGTTTTTGGATGGCTTAGTTGAAAGCTGTGATCTTGGCGGATTGTTAGTGTTCTTTTTAGGTGCTTGAGTGGTTGGGTTCAACCACAAAAGTTGACAGTTGATGCGTAATGTCGACCCCAGCTGGAAGTAGAACGATTTTGATTGGGCGGTGTCCCCTTTTGGTGGTTGGATTCTTCACTTTTGGAGGGAACACCCCCAAATTAATAGGATGAGGGATGGGTTTATTAATTTGGGCGTGGCTCAAAATTCAAGAGCAGGAATTGGTTACGCAGGTTTTAGTATTTGGTTCCATTTACCAAGGTGCCATTTTGGTACATCGAGCCACTGCCATTCGGGATCAGAAGCTCGAAACTTTGGGACTCGCCCAAAGAACATGTACTTTCGAGTTTGCGAAGTGGGTATGGCTGGTCAGAAGGATCTGGACGCTTTGCAAAAAACCGCGTTGCTCGGGTTTTAACCAAAGCCTCGCGGTTCGGAGGCGAGGCGTTTTCCATTTTAGTCGTCTCCCAGTGCAAATGAATTCGGAGGCTGATTGAATGACTGGGACACAGAAGTGTTTGTTGGATTAAAATCGGAGGATGGGTTCATTCATCCTCACTGCAAAGCCAAGCAAAGGCCATGAGGGTCTGTCTTTTTTTTGGGTTTGGTACCCCTTTTTGGTTGGTATAGGGAAGCCAAAAGACAAAACCGCATTCTTTGTCGGAGGGGCTCCCCCAAAAAAGGGTGTTACAATGGACACAAGAAGGCACACCACCACTTCTTCTTCTTCTTTTTTTTTTGGGGGGGGTTCCAAGCTTTTAAACCAATTCGGCCATGTGGTGAGTAGGTCTTAAAACGGAATCCCAAGGCAAGCCGCTTTTTGTTGGGGGGTTGGATATTGTTAAGACAAACGAGCCGCCGTGGACGCGTGACCGTCTGGGCATCGATCCAGTCCTCTTGCCAGGTCTCCAAGCCAGTGCGGCTCGGAGCTGTTGGGAACCCCAGCCATGCGGCTGCGCGGTTTTTTTTGAGCTGTTTGCAGGGTGGTTTTGGAGGGTTTCTCCTTGGCCTCTTGGGTTTGGAGCTGTTTGCAGGGTGGTTTCCCGGTTTTCTATCTACAGAAAATGGGGTCGACAACCCGTTTTTCATGGGGCTTGTTGTTGCCGTTCTCAAGTTTCCCTCCATCACAAAGGTGAGTTGCTCGACAACTTTTTCTTCAATTATCTTTTGGGGACCCGGATCACCTAAGGGGCAAGTTTCCCGAGAGTTGCCCGCAGCGGCGCCGGAGCGCACTTCTGTCTAGAGGAGCTCACGTTGGGAAAGCACACACTCAAGCCCAGCGCGGGCAGTTTATGGCACTACGGCAAAATGCCACGTGTTGTTCCTCTTTCTTTTTGAGGGGGAGGTCCTTTAGAATCAACCAGCAAAAAACGCGCGGGCACCCCTGCATCACTTTGGAGCAGGTTGCCACCCCTGGTCAGTTGACGTGAACGGGTGGGGGCACCCCATGTTTCCCAACCTATAAAAGCACTCGATGTCCAGAACCTTGGAAAGAGCACAGAGTTGGAGCGAAGGACAGCCAACACCTTTGTGGGTGTGGCTCAAAAAAGGGGTCCAAAATGGAGCCCTAGCAAATGGACAGGTAGACCAAAGCCTGCGTTTTGCCCCGGCTGTTTAATGTTGAGCCACTTTGTGAATCTTTGGTTCTCGGATTTGTACGCACCGAGATTTTTTTTACGAGTCTTAAGGCTAAAGATTTGGTATTTGGCACGCTTTTTGGGCCTACGACTTGGGCAGGGCGTGGCTGGAGCGGGCTGGATTTGGACCCGCAATGTGTTGGTTTGTGTCGGTTCGCCTTTTGGTCTCCCGAGAAATCCGGTGTTCCGAAGTTCACGGCGCCGCAGATTTCAAGGTCCCCTTTTTTTTGGCGTCTGCCTTGTTGTTGGGTTTGGTACCATTCTTTTTTGTGGTTTTAACAAGAAACCAACAGGAAGACCGCTGCTTAAGCCATTTTGTGTTTTTGTCTTTTCCTATTTTCCCCCCCCCCCCCTTTTGGGGGGTTCCGGGCGGTTCCCATGTCCTCCTTTTGAGCATCACCTCGTGGACCAACTTTAAGTTTTGGTGAGATGCGCAAAGGGACAACTCCTCCAGACAACTGAAAGCGGTAAGGAAGAAAGTCAACGCCGGCATGTGGATGGATTCCCTCACGAAATTCCAAACCGTCGGTTTCATTTGATCATCTTCCTTTTGACACACACACACACTGTGTTTGTGGGTCCCCGAAAAAAGCTGGACCCATAAATGGCTATTCAATGAGAAACACCACGCCAAGGCAAATGTCCAAAAAGTCTCCAGTGATCGCCAATGATGTGTGGTCTTTTTGCCACCTTTGGTGGACCAATGATCGACCCCCTTGTAGTGAAGCATTCCTTGTTGAGGGGGTCGACCATTTTCTCACCAAAGGTGGCAAAAAGAGACCCCCCTGAACCAGAACCGAACGTCGAACGTCGAACCTTTGGTGCATTTTGCTTGGATGTTAAGACTTGAACTTTTGCCAACTGGTGGGTTTTCCATGAAACCACTGAAAGTTAAACTTTTAGCAGGGGAGCAGAAAGCAACCAAGGAACTCCATGTGCAAAAGGCTGTTTCGCTCGGGGCTTCCAGAGCCAAGGAACAGCTACACCAGCCGTGCGGCCAAGATGCAGAGCGGGGAGAAGCCGCGCAAGGCGACGAGAAAGGGGCGAAATGGATTTGGCCCTCGGGCCCTTGGGTGTGTGTGGGTGTTTTTTTTTATGGTGCCCTTGTTGGGGCCTTTGGGGTGGTAAATGGAAACCAGAGAAAGTTCCTGGTTTGGGGGGTTCCCCTATTCTGAGACAGATGCAACTTTTCTTAGGGGACCCCCAAAGTGGAGGTTTTCCTCTTGGTGTCGCTTCAAAACCCAGTGTCAGCCCAAAGAAAGCCAAGCTTCGTGTGTTTGGACATGGAAGTCTATTCGGTCGAAAGGATGACGGAGACCTAGGGATTTTAGATACCATGGACATGAGGGAGTTTCGGCCACGGCGCATGTGGCTTCTCCTTTTCGGGGATCCCTCCAAGCTGGTTGCCTGTTGTCAATTGGTCATGTTCTTGGTAACTCTTGGGTTCGCTTTTGAGAAGCGAATTGGGGCAGCTGGGCCCCAAGCAAAGGGGCCGATTTTGAGACACCTAGGAATGGTCGGCTTCTTTTTGGTGGTCCAATTTGAAAGCAATCCACAACGCGATGCCCAAGATCGGGGCGACACCCGACTTTGGGCAATGCCTTCCTCGACGTGCCCAAATTCCAAGCGTTCAGCATGTACTATTCTTTTCGTCTCTTTCTGGTATAATCCTGTTTCTGTTGAAGTCTTGGAAAGGAAGGTGATCTGGAGACAATGCAAAGGCATACAAAAGACTAGAGTGATACCCTCTCGTCCTCGTTGCCATGGAACCCACCAGAAGGTCGTTTTAGAGGAACAGTTCCACGGACGGGAGAGTTCGATTTCTTGCTGGTTCTCAGCAGGGAATGAGGGACTGACCCCGCAAAAAACCATCCCCTCCGGTTTCCTTTAAGGGAATCCCCTTTCGGTTCATGCCCAAAGCCCTATCAATCGCACCAGCAACTCGTGGATCTTGATAACCAAGACCTCAGGACTCATTCGTTTGAGAAGCTTTTTCCCGAGGAGCCTTGGACATCAGCTACCCCCCAAACCATTCCCCCTAGTGTTGTTGCCACTACCCCCAGAAAGGTGGTTGGGATATTCCACTCCAGGGTATGGATCCCGAGCTAAAATGTTCAGGGGGGAATGACGTGGACCTCAGAATGTCGCCGCGTGTCCTGGGTGCCGTGTGGGTGTTTCTCCAAATGGACCCGTGTTGGATAGGAATGAGAAATGTTTGCCAGGAATCCATACTGGAAAAAGAATGCACCCATGGACGAAACCCCCATGAGTACTGGTGGATCAACCACCTACCCCTCCTCAGGCTAGCAGAAGGCACCGGATACCTGCAAGAACAGTTTCCTTTTTTTCGGGGGGACCCTCTGTCAGGTGCCATGGCAACGTGGGAGGGAGGGTACCTGATTTCTCCCTTTGGATCCAAATTCCATATTGTCTTCTTGTCGAGGGGTGCCCTTGTGTGGTTTAAAAGGAAACCAAAGGGAAAACCCACCAATCTCACTCCCTGAGTTCATGGACTTCACATTTGAGTGATAAATCAAATAAACAAACCTCGGTGAGCCTCTTTTTGGGCGAGTATCAGAAAAAACCCGAAGCGCCTGTTCGGGGCTTCGGCTCCTACGGTCCTACGGTTCTTCCCCCCTCGCGACGCGCCTCCTACGGTTCGCCTCCTCGCGCCGCATCGCGCGGAGGTGGGCCGCATCCGGCTGCAGCTCACGCTGCGCGCGCAGCCGCAGCACGAGCTCTTCGCCTTCTGCCTGGGGCCCCCGAGCTTCGGGGAGCCCCTGCGCCTCGGATCTGAGAAGTAGAAGTGGCGCGAGCCATGAGGGAGGCCCCCAGGTGTTTTTTTGGTTCCCCTTGAAAACCAACCACACCCGGACTCAAAAATCGATGGTTTTGGGGGAGTTCTTTTCTTGAAAACCAACTCCACACCCGGACCCCTCAAAGGAGAAGACGGAATTTGGATGTGAAGGGAGACCTTGTGGCACTTGACAGAGGGTCCCTTGAAGAGGAAATTGATCTTTAACAGGTACCCTTGCTGTGTCAGTGGGAGAAAGGGCGATCCTTTATGGCGGTTTTCCTTTTACGGTCCTCAAATTCCAGGTAGACGAAAGTTAGTCAGGGATAACCCCAACCACAAATGGGTGCAGCCGCCTTTTTAAATCTTTACATGGTTCTGGGTAGACCATGTAGTACCAGGTGTTGATTCTGACTTAGCTTAGTTGGTGGTTTGGATTGGTGGTTGGTTTGGAAAGGAACCCTGGCTTTTGTAGAGGGTAAATGGGAAACCCCTCCTGGTTTGGGGGGACTTCATTTTGTTGACCCCTTGGGATGGACCTTTTTAGGGGTACTTGACAGGGGTCAAATGGACCCCTGATGGAGGGGAGGTGCGTTTTGTTTGTGGCCGGGGTTGTCAGAAAAAGCACCGGGCTCCGAACCACCAATTAGAGGGAAGCTGATCAAAGTCATTATCATAGGACAAGAACGTGGTCTCTTCAACCGGACTCGGAACCCGTTCTGGAAACCAAGCCCAGAGCCTATTTGGGTGACCCCAAAGCTTCCAGCCGAATGATTTGGATCAACACAAATCATTTAAGTCTTCAGTGTTGTTGGCATGGTTTTTGGTTCTGCTCATCTTTGTAGGGGGCTGCAAAAACACATGTTTTGCTGCCATACCAAGGGCTATAACCGTTTTTGTTGGATCAACAACAACTGTTTGGAGGTGGCTGCAAAGCAACCGTTTTGTTTTTTTCTCCAAAGTCAAATTGTTTCAAGCTGATCAACCAACAACCACCTTAGACCCACTGGCGCCAGGCAGCCCCTAGACCTTGCCAGCCTCTTGCGCAACATCACGGTCATCGCGCACGAAGCGCAGCTCGCAGACGCTTGGCTCTGCCAGAAAAATGACGGGGTCTGAATCTCGGGGAACCCTTAGTTGGTGGTTTGGATTGGTTGTTTGGCGATCTGAAATTCTGGTTCTGGGAGGGTGAATGGGAAACCACCCAGTAATTTCCAGACCAAACCAAACCACCAAGGGGAAGCAGAGAATCGTGAAGGTTGGACCCCTCAAAGTGGATTCGGTGTTCCTCTTGGTTTCCTTGAAAAAAACCAGCCAAACAGGGTTGCCCTCAAAAAAAACACGTCCCTTTTGGTTCTCTCCTTTGTCGGTCTTCCGCTTGGATATTTCTTTGAATACCCTCAAAAACCACCGTCCGTTTTGGCTCCCCTTTTTTGCGTGCTCCTTTTGGTTTCCCTTGAACAAAAACATCGCCCCGAAAGCCGGGGGGTTTCCTCACGAGCGACGTCGTACGGGTGGGCGGCTCACAGGAGCGCTTCTGGAGCCCCTTGCTGGAGCACGCGGAGCGCGGGAGCAGCGCCATCTGCGGCACCGGCATCCTGCTGCTTTGGAGGCCTTCATTCGGGGGGCGGGGGGGGGGGGGGAGCCCTCGGGATGGGGCGGGAGGGGCCCCCGGTTTTCGTGGGTTTGAGGGGGGAAAGCCCAAGAGGAAGCCAAGGGAATCCTCCCCCCCTCCCAAGTTTAACGTGGGATTGCCATCTAGGACAATCTAGGGGAGTTGATCAAGTTTCCCTTTATCTTGCTGGTGCGACAGGCAGGGAATGAGACCTGGAATGATCCCCAAGAACTGAGAAATGGCATGTTTTCGAGAAAGCCATCCCGCTCATGGCTTCCCTTTTTCGGGACTCGGCTCCGGTTTAGTACACCTCAACCCCGCCTAGCGCACCGATCGAGAGTCATGGGAGGCCTGACGTGAAAGTTCTGTGGGAGGGATCTCTTCCCTGAAGCTTGGCGTAGCGTTTTTGTTTTTGTTTTTTTTCTCGGAAGAAAATGCATGGTTGGTCAACCCTGGCCAGGACCATGGCTTTTTTTTTCTTCTTCCTTTTATTATATGGTTGAAATATCATCATAGTGGATTGCAACCCATGTATTAGCCCATGTATCACAAATCTTTTGATCACCCCCCCACATCTCTCTGGATTCCCAATGTTTAGCGGCGGAAGCATAAACCAGTTCCATCAACTTGGTTCCCAGCCATCCGGTGGCTTGGTTTTGTTAGCGTTTTTGTTTTTTTTTTTTTTTTTTTTTTTTTTTTTTTTTTTTTTTTTTTTTTTTTTTTTTTTTTAAATAGTAGGTTTAGAGGGGGATTTGAGGACAGCCCAGTCAGGGGAGCATTCCTTCCAACCCGCCTTTTTGGCGAAGTTTAAGACCTCACTCTTGCACAAAAGCCAAGGGAACCACCTTGCTTTCTTGTTTGAGGCTTCCCCAGATGTCCGCTTTTGGTGGGTGTAAAGCCTCACTTGGGCCGAGCGAGTGTTTCTTGGGCGGATGTCTGCCAGTCCTATGGCGAGGGCTAAAACGAGCCGACCATGACGTAGGTTTGCCCGGGGAAAAAATATTTGAGAACTTGTGAGACAGAATCTTGGTTTATTGGGTGCACCTGGAAACTGGGCCAAGATATACATCCGCAAAGGATTGTTTTCTCAGCCGCTGTTTGCAATATGGAACGCAACACAAGGGGTCCTCGCAGGAGTTTCCTCTACGAATGTTTTGCTTTCGGGTTCCGGCCGTTCATTTGCAGGGGAGTAAATAGTGCCCCCACAACCCCATTCTAATGTTTCAGCCCTTTTTTTCAGGCAACTGAATTGGTGGTTTGTGGATTTGAACGCTTGGTTCTTGCAGAGGTTCAATGGACCACCGCAGAACATGGTTCTTTGGGTTCCGGCCGTTCATCTGTAGGGGAGTTGATGTGTACCCCACAACCCGACAATAAATCGTAGCATGGACGGCTCAAATTTTAAGATTCGTGACATCAGGTGTTAGTCTACTTTTCCATTAACCAGGGTTCCACTTTGGGCCTCGATTTTGAGCCACACTCATATAAATACACATATACTTCAGTGTTGTTGGCACGGGTTTTTTGGCTTTTTGTTTCTCTTAATTTTATGCAGGGGGCTGCAAAAACAAAACTGTTGTGCAAGCACATGCCAAGGGTTTTGTGTTTCTATCAATTCTAAGTAGGGGGCTGCAAAGAAAGACAGCTTTTCGCTACAACGGTTGGAAAGGGGTAAAGTTGTTAGGTCACCCAGTACGTAGTGCCCTTTTACTTTTTTTGGGGGGAGGGTTCCCCTACAAAAATAGACTACAGAAAAAAGATCGGGTACCAACTTAGAATCTCTACTGGAAGACCTAGGTTGGTGAAATGCCCAAATCGAATCTTTGGTGCATTTTGCTTGGATGTTCGGACTTTAACTTTTTGCCAACTAATGGGTTTTCCATTAAACCGCTAAAAGTCAAATTTGTAGCAGGGGAGCAGAAAGCAACCGAGGAATGATTCAGCCCCGTCCCCTTGGTCAGGCCGGAGTTCATACTGCCGCTGCTGATCCTGCTGGCGTGCGGCATCCTGCTGAATGCATCCCCCGCTGAGGAGGACCGGTGATGCCGGCTGAATTTGTTTGAAGCAAGCCCTGGTTTACGTCAAAGGGACAACCAACAAGGCGATTGAAGCCATAAACTGTCCAGTTCAGGTCAGTTTGGTGATAAATAGATGGGTTCCACTGGTTTAGATGGGTTTTGTTCCATGTACCAGGCACACCCAATGACTTTTCGTGAACACATGCTCAAAGGGCTGGGTTGGTTTGGGGAAACCAAAAGGAAAACCAAGTCCATTTTGTCGGTCCTCTAACAAAGGACAGACACATCTACATTTACGTGACACGCATCGAGTTGGGGATTTTTCAACACCCGCAATTCACGATGCAGGGTGCAAGCCCCATCTCAAGCTGGGAGGAACAAAAAACCTGGGGCCTTGGACACGGCCCCCATGAATCGGGGTTGATTTATGAAACCATGAGGGTCGACAAGCTGGAGGTTTATCGAGGGTGAGTTGTCAGCTTGAGATGAAACAAGACTTGGGTGACGTCCCCAAGAAATGTATTTGGTGGCATGTTTTTTTTGTGTTTGGTCACCAACCCTTTCGGTGTCCCTCTCAATCACTTCCCGAGAACACAGATGATATCTCACTTGGGCTGTGTGACACGTACTTCCAAGCCAAAACCATATGTCCTGATCATAGCAAGATGTTAGTGTTGGGCCCTAGCAGCAAAATCCTCGGAAAGGAAGCCACTAGAGAATGGACAACTGGTCAGGCACACCAAGGTGGGATTGGGATTTGAACTGGTTCTTGTAGGCAAATGGAAAACCACCCAGCCCCTAAACCACCAAAGGAAGCTGGGCTGATGTCGTCATCGGTCCAACAAGTTGAGAAACTATTGTGGATGGATGAACTTCTGCACCAGTTGGGATGGGTGAAACATGACCAACCCTGTGAATTCTGGGATACACGCGACGGGTGAACCACCACTGAAGTGAGTGTGGCTCAAATTTTAAGACCTAGGGTTATGCCGGTTTTAGTCTTCGTGCCATTTACCAAGGTACCATCTCGGACAAGGAATTTATGTCCAAAACAGGGGTTAAACACAGGATTTTATGTCCAAATGGATTTTTGTGGGCTAAACACGGGTTGGCCACTTAAGTGGTGCGACATGGGTTGTATTTACGTCGCCGTCCGCAGTATTTGTAGCCAGTCATCTCAGGTCCTGTCTAGTTTCTCACAGGAGGAGGGTGCGGCCGCGGCGGTGGAATCAGACCCGGCGCTGCAGAACGTGTTCAAGGCCGTGTGGAAACACTTTTTGTTGCCGTCGTATGTGATACCACGAGCATTTGCAGGTTTCTTGGTGGTTCCCAGCCAATAGTGTTTAGTGGGAATTTTCATTTAACCCACTAAAAGTTAATTATCAGAGGGGGATCTGAGGGCAGCCCAGGTTTTATGGGGGCCATGTTCCGTAATACCAAGGGCATTTGGGAAAAGGCAGTGAGAGTTGCTGGGAGTCAACGACTTTGGCATCGCGAGTGATTTTTGCCCATGCCCATGGCATCTGAGAGGTCATTGGAAGACCAGTTGAGCCACAATCCAAACCCGGGTAAGTGAAGGTTGGTTTGGAGCAGTTCCAACCATAAATAGGTGCGCCTGCCTTGGCAACTCTTTGCATGGTTCTGGGTGGACTATTTTAGTGTCGATCGGTTTTGATTCTGAGTCAGGTACCCCTTAGTTGGTGGTTTGGATTGGTTGGATTTGGATTTGAACGGCTCCCTGGCTTTTGTAGAGGTGTTTTTTTGGGTTGACACCTCCCGGTCGTCATTTGATTACTGGTGACTTCCTTTGCGTCCAAGGCGGCAGAGGCGCATTTGCCTCAGCACCAGTACACGGAGATGTGCGCCGTGCAGGCGTTGGGGTGCTTTTTTGGTTGCTTCTTTAATGTGCGGCTTTCGGGTGGCTTTGAAAGTCAACTCACTTCCTGAGTTCATGAGCTTAACACTTTTTGGATAGTGGCAAATTCAAAGTTTGGACTATTTTTGGGGCCAACCCTCTCAGTTAGTGTGTGTGTGTGTGTGTGTGGGTGCGTGCGTGCGTGCGTGCGTGCGTGCGTGCGTGCGTGCGTGCGTGCGTGCGTGCGTGCGTGCGTGCGTGCGTGCGTGCGTGCGTGCGTGCGTGCGTGCGTGCGTGCGTGCGTGCGTGCGTGCGTGCGTGCGTGCGTGCGTGCGTGCGTGCGTGCGTGCGTGCGTGTGGGTGGGTGGGTGGGTGGGTTGGTTGGTTGGTTGGTTGGGCTTTGTTTGTTTGGTTGGTTGGTTGGGTTTTGTTTGTTTGGTTGGTTGGTTGGGTTTTGTTTGTTTGGTTGGTTGGTTGGGTTTTGTTTGTTTGGTTGGTTGGTTGGGTTTTGTTTGTTTGTTTGGTTGGTTGGTTGTTTGTTTGTTTGTTTGTTTGTTTGTTTTTTGTTTGGTTTTTTTCCTTTTTTTTTGGGGGGCGGGGGGGGTTCGGGGTTTGGTTTTTGGACATGGGTGCGGCTTCCTTGCAGAAAAAGCGTTTTGCGGTTTTGGGTTTGTGGGGTTGGGACCTTTCGGGTTGCTTGGGAGCTTGTCTTGGGGCTTTCGGGGTTAGTTCAGCGGCATCTTTCTGCCTCCTTTCGAATGAAATCAGCCGACATGCCCCAATTCATTTTCTACCAGCCTGGACTTTAAGTTTTTTGGGAAGACCCGTTTGGACGTAAACCACAAGTCTGATCTTCTGTTGGCCTGAGCCTTTGTGTGCTTGGCGCGTCGGCTTCCTTTGGCGAGGTTCGGGTGGCTCGTGTGTTTTTGGAGGGTGCCCCTTGTGTACCCATGTTGGGGATCGGGGGCACATGAATTGTTCCCTCAAACCACAACAATTGATTAGGGTTACACTCACAATCATTTTGCTCCACTCATGCACACATCTTATAATAAGATGGATGGATGGATGGATGGATGGATGGATGGATGGATGGATGGATGGATGGATGGATGGATGGATGGATGGATGGATGGATGGATGGATGGATGGATGGATGGATGGATGGAAGGATGGATGGATGGATGGATGGATGGAAGGATGGATGGATGGATGGAAGGATGGATGGATGGATGGATGGATGGATGGACGGACGGACGGATGGATGGATGCATGGATGCATGGATGCATGGATGCATGGATGCATGGATGCATGGATGCTTGGATGCTTGGATGCATGCATGGACGGATGGACGGATGGACGGATGGACGGATGCATGGATGCATGGATGCATGGATGCATGGACGCATGGATGCATGGACGCATGGATGCATGGATGCATGGATGCATGGATGCATGGATGCATGGATGCATGCATGGACGGATGGACGGATGGACGGATGCATGGATGCGTACATGCAAGGATGCATGGATGCATGGATGTATGGATGCATGGATGCATGGATGCATGGATGCATGCATGGATGCATGGATGCAGGGATGCATGGATGCGTGGATGCATGGATGCATGGATGGATGGATGCATGGATGGAGGGAGGGATGGATGGATGGATGGGAGGGATGGATGGATGGATCGATGGATGGGGGATGATGGGATGGATGACTGGCTGGCTGGCTGGCTGGCTGGCTGGCTGGCTGGCTGGCTGGATGGATGGATGGATGGATGGATGGATAGTTACATAGATACATAGATACCGAGCTAGACAGACAGACAGATAGCTAGACAGCTAGTCTCTACGCCCCACTGAATGATCCTTTAGATCTCAAGTCTATCAACAGTAGCGCTTCTTGATTCGGGTGCAGACTGCCGTAGTCGGAGTTGCAGTCCCTCACGTTGCCCTGACCGTGGCCCGATCGTCAAAAAAGACCTTGCACTTGAGATGCAAGAATATCGGCTAGAGGCGAGGAGTGCTCAGTACAAACTCAAAAAGCCTTCGGCTGCGCCTCTACCATACAAATTTCCTGACATTTGCAATCAAGCTCCTTGCTTTGTCTTCTCCTCACGTGGGTCCTGCAAATTGTTGAAAGCCAAGCGAAATCCACCAACAGTTTCACTCGATTTGCAGGCCTTGAGCAAATCGACCTTCATATTGCTCTAAGTCGGGAAGCCACCTTGGGGAAGCTTGACGCCGCTCCAGGAGACTTGCGGCTTTGGGAAAAAGTATCATGCGGATTCTTCAGGCAATTCCGCTGTGGCAACAGTTAATGCGCTGCAAAAGATCATTTGCCCAGCTCATCAAGACTCAGTCGCTGCTTTCACTTCACCCATGTGGCTATGGGTCAAAATTAAACTACCAGCGGACCGCAGGTTTTGGTCCATGTTTCCACTTACTAGGGTTCCATTTGGGGTACCTATTTTTGACCCACAGCCATATCATGGCGCCCCATTGCTTGACATTTTAAGCCTCAAGTCTCTTCAGGAGCCCACTCGCCTTGGGCAAAGAGGAGCTGAATCCTATCCAGTGTCATCATGCGCACGCCGCCTGAACAACATGTGTGGCATTGATGTGAGATTGATTTGGTGCTTTCGGTTCAGATCATACCGGTTAGGGCAACAGTTATTGCACTGCAGAAAGTCTTTGTTGAGCTCATCAAGGCTGGGCGGTGAGACATTTGTCAACTTTCATAATTCCTTGGTATATAGGGAGTTGGTGGCAATCAAATTGTGCTCCGAAATGATTGTGTACGTCAACTTTGCGTTTGGGAATCTGCTTTCTTGCAGCTGGCGGTATTGGCCTATCTTCCCATTTGCACTCTTGAAATCTAGCCCGTTTGCGATTTGAACCACAGAAGCCCGAGATCATTTTGTGCAATTGTCCTCGAGTTCAAGATGGGACACGTTGCAGCTCTTTTGTGCCAGACCACGTCCCCTTAAATGCAGGTCTGACCCATGATTTATGAAAGTTGACACTGAGATATACATATATAATATGGACAATATATATATATATACACATATATACAAGAGTATATATACATATACACATATATACAAAAGTATGTATATATATATATATACACATGTATTTCTACGTGAGCAGAGTTCCTGAACCTCTTTAAACATCTCTACGTCTCAGAGAGAAGCCAGGGCAGTCTGAACTTGGCCGTGGAGGTGATTCAGGGCTGGCGGGAGGCGGGCGGCTGTTGGCGAGATGGAAGGACATATTCTGAATGATTTTGCTGGGGTCAAAATCAATCAGCATAATTCTGGATGCCAATGGGGAGGACGTGTGCTTGCCCTTATGACCAAGACCTTGGAAAATGCATGTTTCCCCAACAGCACAAGGCGCATGACTTGAGGGGGGTGTCTTTCACCAGAACAGGGGCCAGGACGGGGACATCCGCGGCCTTTTGTAGAAAGGCAGGGGTCAGGCGTTGCCTTTTCGGACGGCAAGGGGCCGTGCTGAAAAGGGGAGGGTAGTCCCGTGAGTGTTGTTGGCAGGTTTTTCGGTTTTGGGGTTCGGTGGATTTCTAGTAGGCTGCAAAAGCAAAGTTTCTGCTACCAGAACAAGGGATGGACAGGTCAAGAGCCCGCGGTCCACGTCCATGCTTTCCGGAAAAAATATTTTGCTCACAGTGCTGGTTAGCAGGAGCTCTCCCATCTCAGCGTGTCCTTACAATGTTTGGCTCTAAGTTTCGTTGCAGGTTAATGCTGACCTTTGACACGCAATCCCATGCAAGACTTGCGACTGCTTGTGGCACTTCAACTTCATGTCTTTGTCGAAGCGGTGGATGACCCCGTTGTTTTCTCGCCCAAGTGGACGGGTCACTGGGAATGGTTTGGCAAGGGAACGTTGGCGGCTCGAAAGCGCTGCGCCTTGCTGCATGGCAAGGGGTTTGGAGAGCTGGGGGGTTCCAAGAACCAGCGCTATAAAGCCTACATCGTCTCCCTCTGCCGCCGAATTCGCCGAATCGAGGCGAAACCTCGCTCGCTCGCTCTGCCTCCGCCAGGTCTGGGCCTGGGCGGTGTGCCACAAGCAGAAGGTGAGTCTCTGCCTGGCCTTTGTGGCCGTGACGCGGACGGATTCGGTTTCGTGGGCATAGGTGTCCTTTTTGGTGGTTTTGGTGGAAAATAGATGGCAAATCCTGGTTTACCTGGTGGTTTCGTCCTCTGCCCGGGCCATCTATTTGCCCTAAAAGGACACCAATGTTTGTGGGGTTTCTCCCGTCCCTCCCGACGCGACGTGAAGCGCGTGAAGAGCGACGTGAAGGCGCAAATGCCAGGCACAGGCGCACATGCCAGGCACCTGCCATTTAAAGACAGAAAAATCCAAGAGGCGCATGGGAACACGAGATTTGAAGGGTCCTGAAAAGCGCGCAACGTTTTTTTTTCTTCCAGCTAAAACAAACGTCATCCAGTAGAAACCAATGGGAATCACATTGGGCATCACCTCACCAGAACTGACTGGGCGCTTTGGAGCTCACTCATGAAGGTTTTTGCTTGGGTTTTGGTTGTTTGAGGTTTGGGAGAAGATGTCAATGGGAGGTGGGTTCAACATGTGGCTTAAGCCTTAAGCAACCAGACCCGTTTTTTCCTTTTTGAGGGAAACCTAAAGGAGGTTGGTTACAAGAAAGCGTTTACTTGCTGGTTGAGTTGGCAAATTTGAAACTTTTAGTTGGCAGGTGTCTTTGATTTTAGACAAAATCCGACAAAAAATGGATGTTTTTGGGCCGGTCAACTCCGCTGGGTTAAGCATGTGTTTCACAAGTTCGCCCAACTCCTGTAAAACGTGCGAACACGTCATGCATGTTCTTGTCCATGGCCTGGTTGGTAGCATTCACCGTGCCCCCAAAAAATTGTCCCCTTAATCGTGTTGGCGGATGGCTGTTGGTTGGTGTTTTTTTCCGCACGTGGTGTCCCATAACGCGAATCCCTTAGATAACTTATTAACCGTTTGGACAATGACAATTTCGCTACTCGCAACAAGTCCGATATAGTTTGTCCAGCGTCGGAGTACCCTAAATCTTGCAAGTACGGAACAAGAGAAGCCTCGTAAGTCGTTTTTGCCCATAGTTTTTTGTTGGCATCGGACTGATCGGGCAGACCATACTATTCGAAGGACTGTGCCAATATGAATAACTCCTCCCCACTGAAAGTGAGATTCCCATCTATGACAATACGGTCTTGCGGATTGATCCTTAGGTGAAATGGATATTGGAAGGGGCATTTGTTGTCTGGAGGGACAAAAGCCAGTCAGTTTAGATGTTCCTTGTCCATTGCAGGCACAATATGTTCGCCGCTGTGAAACTTCTTTGCCAGTAAGGCAGTGCTCGTGTACCACAGCGAGTGGCAGGCGCGAGCACTCGAATGGGTGTGTATTTGTGAGGCTAGGTCACTCTTGTCCAGAGAATCCAAAGGAAAACCAAAGACATATCCAACATCTCAACCTTCCGGCATGGGATCCTTTGGGACGAATGCTATTTGTGCCGCGGTCTTTGGCGCCAGACATTATGCAGAGTTGCTAGGCTGCTAACATAGGTCCAGTACGAGTCGTGACATTGGCGCGGCCAAGCTTTTCTGCAAAAGCGGCGAAAAGGTTTGGTGCCTGAGGTGAACCAAAAGGGAAACCCGAAAAAGACCCCCCCCTCCAAAGAAACAGCGAAACGTTGGTGGTCTTCCTGAGGTCCTGCGGTCATCCTGTGTTTCAAAGTTTCACCAAAGTGCAGCCCCCTCCTCTTTGCCTCCCCGCCCGCCCCCAACAAAAAGAAGAAGACCATCGCCATTGAGGTTTCGGCAGCAACCCTGTCTTTTTGCAGACCCTTTTGAGAGTTGTTTAAACAAGTCCTGAAAGTCCTTTCTAAAAGGGAGCCACTGAGCGCGGTCCTGGTCCTCCAGAACTCTGGGTCTGAAGCAGAAAGGTCCCAGGGATTTGTCACCTTCCAAGGTGATGCTGAGAAACCAACCCCTTTGTAGAGGAAACTGCAACGGGGGCCCCTTCTGTTGGGTTCCATGTTGATTCGTAGGGGACCTCCCACAAACCTTTGGGTTTGGGTACCTGCAAGATCATAATTTCTCTTCAAGTGACCGGGTCCCTGTCAGAGAACCTTTTGACCCGCTTGCGACGTGTATCTCCTTCCTGGAAGAATGGATCACCAACTCCAAACCTCATCGGTCCGTCCAACCGAAAACCAGCCAGCACTAAAGATCCCCAATAGAAACATCGCCCCCGGGAAAACTGGGGAGCCTTTGGACTAAGAAGGTGATGAGCTCTTTCAGCCACTGAATATCCGTTTGTATTTGGGTGAGTTGTGATAAGCATCGGCCGAAATGTATCCTGTGGTTTCTGTCTTCGGACTCCAAAGTTGGGAAGATTCTGCACTTAGCGTCACTCCCTGGGTTGGACAAGAGGTCACTTGGGTTTGGATACCATGTTCGTGGCAAATGCAAAAGAAGCTGGGTGAACTTTTTCTTTTTTTGGGGAAGTCCACTCAAAGTGATCCATTTTTTTGGCGCTTCCCTTCCTGTGGGTTGCCCCTTTCGGCTTTTGTGGGTTACGATCTGGCAGTGGCGAATTCAAGAAACCGGAATCCCAAAATGGGTTGCCCGATCGGTGAGTGGAGACATGGGTACCAAAACCTGCGGTTTGCCCCTCCTGGTTAATTTTGAGCCGCCCATCTTAGCGCATGAATCAACTTCTTTGGGCCACTCGGAAGTGAGACGGATGTAGGAAGGATCCCATTCCTGCCCTCAGGAACTCCGAAGAAGCCGGGTGAGGGAACCCTAAGGACCTGAAAGCTCTCAACTACCCTACCAACTAAGATAGGACCTGAGGTTCGGGGGGTCCTGGTTTGAACCATCCCTGTCAGGGTACCCAATTCATTTCTCGGATGGGATTCCAGCCGGTGGCTTTGGTGGATTTTTGGGCTGAAAGGGATCCTTTTTGCCTGCCCCCTGCCCAGTTCGCGCCCCCCCCCTCTGCCTGGGGGTCCATGAAACCTTAGGTTGCCATCTCCAACTGGAATGCGTCAACCCAACCTCCTGGAATGCCGTCAACCCAAAAATCGACCGCCGGCTGGCTCCTTTTCTTGTTTTTGGAAAAAATCCGCTTGCCCTCTCCCCCCCCCCCCCCCCCCCCCCCGGATTTTTGGAATTCCCATCTACCGCCGAACGGGCTCCTCTTTTTTTTGGGGGATAAATCCCCCTGCGTAGCCAGCTGATTCCTCCTCTGCAGGGCCTGGTGCTGCGCCTCGCGCTCACGGCGCTGCTGGCAGTCGCTGCGCTGCAGCACTCCTCGCTGTGGCGCATCCTGCGGGGGGTGGCCATCTACCGCCGGGGGCGCCCTGGCGTTGGAAAAACCCGGCAGCCCGAAGCCGCAGACCGAGGGGCGTGAAGGTCCAGGGGGTCGTGTTTGTTTGGTGGGGAGCCTTTGAAGGGAATGTCACTTTTGATGGCGTTGTTTCTTTTTTCCTTTCTTTTTTTTTTTTTCTGGGGGGGGGGGGTGAAGGTGAAGGAGCGTTGGTGGGCATTTCACTTTTCTTGTTGTTTTTTTGTTCGGGGGAGGGGGCGTACCACTTTTTATACTTTTTTGGGGGCAGGTTTTTCAAAAAGGCCAAAGGAGAAACCAGCATGTTGGGTGGACGGGGCGAGGGGGGGGGGTTGGCCCGGGAACAGGTCAGGCGGGGGGGGGTTGGGGGGGGGATGGTTCCGTTCGAATTGCATTGACTTCGTGCATGGACATGCAGCAGAAAACATGCTCTTCGTTGATGCTTCTTCTCAAAACAACATGTTTCGTCCAAGCCTGTTCAAGATCAAAGCCACACTGCAACAATATTGCCAGCCTCGGTTTTGTTTTCAAGGACATCGGGATATTTGGCTTGTCTTTTCGGTATGTGACGGCAGCCATGAATTGCAAGACCGTACCTCTACGTGCTTCCGGCCATGAGTTGGATCCTGCCTTGCTTGCTTGGGGCTTCGCATACGTCATTCTGTTGAGACTTTGCACACGGCCTTGCCCGCAGTCACGCTTGTCTAGTTTTTGGCACTGCCATCCAGATCTTCTTGATTCCTTGCAGCAGGTGGCTTGGTCACGTTAGGTCAAGTTTGCGGTTTCTTTTCCACAGGGGTCCACTGGGCTTTTTTGCGTTTGTCACGGAGTAGCAAAACTTACTTCCCGTTGGCATTCGCATCAGGTGTGCAGTGAATCCAAGCCAGATCAGATTCACCTATTTGTGCGCCTAGTCAGTGCTTATAGAGGGGAGAGGCTTTCTTTGCGTTCGCTCCTTACAAGCGCATACCACGTTCTTGAGACAGACATGGATTATGTACGCACCAGATGCTGGTGCAGTGGGCCCAGCAGCTGCTGTCGCTGTGTTTTCAAGTGCGATGCACCAGCAGCCAGTGCTCTGGACGTCCGAGCTTGTTGTCTGAGCAACCCTGCTGTCTGCTGCTTTTGGCCGGGTATTTTTTGTCAAGTGCAAACAGTCATGCTTGCTGAGGTGAAGGAAACGGTCGCCATGCTAAGGAATCCGGTCTTGGCGCTATACTCCGATTCGCTACGTGTCGAGTGTCGACCATGTCCTTCCCCAAAGTCAAATTTCGACCACGTTTCGAGTCAACAAAGTTGCGGTTGCGTGTCCCGTGCCGGTTCATGTTTGCGCGTTTCCGCGTGGCTTCCAGGGATAGAACGAGAGCTGCAGTATGAGAGCCACAGAAGGGCAGCGGCCTAGCTCCTTAACCCTCAAGCGAACTAGCCCAAAGATCTCTTAAAATTTCCGAAGCCGGAAAAAACAAGACGTGTTTGGTTTCGATTTATTCGACCTCCTTCTCTCTTCCCGAGTTCCTGGACTTGGGTAGACAATTTCAGTGGCAAACAAGAAGTTAAGCTAAATTTTCTGACCAGCCCAAGTGAGCCTTTACAGCTAGCTTCCCTTCTTCGGAGCTCAGGAAGCTGCCGCTGAAGGACTGGGACGGTCTGCTGGGCTACGCCACAGAGCGGGTTCAGGAGAGCCCCGTCGCACGCCAGGGCGGGGCTTGACGCCCAGTGCTAGTGTGGATGATCGAGAAACCATTTCACGCTACTCGGAAGCCATGGTTGAAACCGTAACGCTACTTGATTTTTTCAGGGGAACGCACCAGGGTTTTTCAAAAAGCAGAGTTTTGTCCGTCCAGGGTTAAACTCGAAGCAGGTGCAGCTTGACGGGTTTTCAGCACAGTGGGGAGTTGTCCTCATTACGCGTATAGGCGTGAATATTTGCCCCCGCGTTCTCCGAAAATGATTGAGTAGCAGTGCGAGCTGAGAAGTGGCCAACACCGGTATGGTCAGGTGGGGATGCGCCCGAGGTAGTAGCCATCCCGTTGCAGGTTCGGGATTGGCCACGGCAACGGGCCAAACAGTCCCTGTTGACGGAACATGGGGGGAGTGAATCGCCCCAAATCTGTGTTGAGCTGGCGGAGGCGGCTGAGGCGGGCAGTGTGGAAATTTGAGGATGTCGCTTTAGTGGGCCCCATCAATTTTTTTTGGCTCTTTTGTGACGCCCCACTGCATGGGGAAAACTAAAAGTGCAACAACAGCGCCCCAACTCGCGCCTATGCTCTTGAGCAACCTTAAACCTCCTTTTTTTTTCAAGGGAATGGGTGTGTTCTGCGTATTTTCGTCAAAATGGGCGAAGCTTTCAAAAGAGTGGCCAACCGCAATCGCACAGCCAAATGCAAGAAAAAGGACAGCAACATCCTTGAGTTCGCTTAGAACCCAATAACAACGCAACACAACCCACTTCCATTTTCCGTTTGGAGCGCGAGAAGCCGCAGGGGCGTCGTCGGATCCGCAGGACACGCGGAGCCTGACACCGGAGGAAGCGCAGTCACTGTCCAACAGCTGCTTGGCTGCTGGATGCGGGGTTTCGGCGGAGAGGCTCCCTTGGCACCCTGTGGGTTTGCTTCCTTTTCCCGGTTTTTGGTGGAGATTTTCCCCTCCAAGCCATGGTTTGGGGGGAAGGCCTCATATTTTTCCCCTTTGTGAACGGTTAAACTTGTGGCCATTTTGGGTTTGTTGCCCAAAAGCGCCAGTCTTAGTGCAAGCAGAACACCCTGAGAGGGCTCCTCCTGAGCCCAACAAACGGTTTTGATTTTGTCCACAGTGGCAGAGTTTAGCACCTGCTGTGCTAAAAAACGAGAACCTTGTTGTTTGAGATAGAACTCTAACTAAGTTCTGTAAATTTAAAGAAGGGTTCGTATGTTTCCCGGCTCGTGTGTTCGTTTGGAGGTTTGGGTTCGACAAACCCTTGTATTTCTTGTTTGTGGTTTAAACATCACCTTGTTGCCAAATTCAATTGGGTTGATGTGAAAGGGGGGGCATAGGAACCCGTTGGAACAGCCGAGTGTTGAGCTTTTTTGGGGAACACCAAGAAAACAAACTCAGTCAGCTACTGAAGCTCCACGACCCCAATGATTGGCTGTGAAGGGAAAACGTGTATTTCATAGAGACAAAGACGCAGTGCGAGCCGTTTGTTGTCTTTTTTTGGGTGGCTTAGAGGAACACTGAAAGGAACACCGCCTATTTTGAAAGTCCGCCTATGTTGACACAACCACTGTCTTGCCACTACAGCTTTTGACTTCTGCAGAGTCAGGGCTTTGGGATTCAAGGTGGCAGTCAGGCCATGAGTTCTTGCTTATGTTTTGCTCTTCAGTCCCTGCGTATTGCGCGATATTTAAGCCCGGCATTTGCATGGGATAGGAAGCGCCATCTTCGTGCATGCATTTCAGGGAAACCGGCAAGGAGTAAGGAGACATATTTGTTCAAAAAGGAACCCAGAAGAAACCCAGCGATTTGAAGGTCCTTGTGGTAGACAGCAAGTGGGTGACTTGTAGACCTTATTTGAAAGTCAGCATTTGGAAATTAGGAATCTCACCACCACTACCAGTACTAGCACCACCGCCAGCACCAGCACCGCACCACCACCAACAACAACACCACCATCACCACGACTGGCTGGCTGTCCAAAACACTGACTTCTTCAATTTATTGGCAGTGTTGAACTTCTATCAAGGCCCTCGAATTGATGTTATTAACCACTAACCGGTCACCAGAGGCGGGCTTTAAATACATGTAAACAAGCTCTGGTACCCTTGTAAAGGGAAGCCACAAGGAGGTTTAAAGACATTTGTGTCTAAACCATAGCTTTACACAATTGGGTCTTCCACAAGGCACAGTTGGTGTCTTTGCCTAAACTGTTCGTAGAAACCAAAGGAAGCACCACCGATTTTGCGCAATTCTCCTATCTAAAGACGCCCAATTCCAGTTGGTTGGCCCCCCTGATGGTCAAAGTCGCTTCAGGCCCCGTTGGCGCGGACAACTCCGAAGGCTCGGCCAAGAATCCGCCCTCCCTGCACGTCATGGAGGCGCGGGACGGCGCGTTACGTGGAGCGACGGCCGTGAATACCCCGCCTTTTAGAGGGAAAGATGTGGATAATGAGGGCTAGATGTGTCCTGGTTTCTGGTTTAGTCAGTCAAGTGGGCTTATATCCTTGCTTGGGAGTTGATACCCTGGGTGTGTTTTGGAGGGAAGCAAGGCGATGTGGGTGTGTGTATCGAGGAATGGAAGGCTTGGCTTATTTTGATATTGAGAATTACCCGGGTGTTTGCTGCAAAGGCTGAACCCCCCCTTTCGTGGCGGGTTTGCCTGTTCTGTGTCCCAGGGGTCGTCATTTTGACGGGAAGTTCCAAATTTCCGACTTGTGGAACTCCAAAAGTTGCGGCCCGAAAAAAAATATACCCCCCACCCTGGTTTCAGATAAAAGCTGCAGACCTCCAAACGTATCTTTTCAGATCTGCCAGTTGACCTGTAAAACTTAGAACCGATTGGCAAGGTTGCCCGCCAAAGACAAACCTGTTGAGGTAAACTTGTTGTCCAAATTTCTCGGGTGAGATTCTGTCTCTTGCGAACCGGTTCCTTTGGGTCAACATCGCGTTTCTCAGAGCAAGAACACCTCTTGCACCTTGGCTAGTCTTCGCGGGTATGTACATGTATATATATATATACACACTCCTGTCCACTAAACGGAACCCACCAGAGGGTCCCTTATTAGGAGCCCGCAATGTCGTACATGTACTCCGTTGGGAGGAGATTTCGGGTTAGAGAAACCCATTCGTCCCAGAGTGGAATCTGGCACTTTCTGGAGCTGCACCTATGGTGGTGTCGTTCTTTGAGGCTGCCCTTGTTTGGAGAGGAAACCCGTATATTTTTCTGGGGACTCCTATGTGGACGAAATCCGCTTCGCACCAGTTGGGATGGGCTTGTCCCATTGATAGGAGTTCATCTGCAAGCGGTGCAGGATTTCGTCCCCCTGAATCTCAAAGCGACCCCCCATGTTGAACGAAAACTTGCCCCTTTGATGCTTCCTTGGTGCTTCCGCAAGTTTGGGACTCGTCATGAAATTCAGAGTCTGGCCCTGATGTTGATTTGCGGCCTGGCAAGCATCCTTAGATGACTGGTGCCATCTCATGTCTACCCCTGAAACATGTGTCTTGCTCCGTTTTGGCCGCCGAAATGTCTCAGGTCCCGAGGTTCCATCGTCCGAAACAGAGCCCTCAGTCAGGTTCCATGTGGACCAGACAAAAAGACAGGAGGCTGCGGTGGACATAAATATTGCAAGTAAACCAAGCACAAACCAAATTTTGCGTTGGGCTCCTTTGTTCCCTTGCGATATTTAGAGCATCAGAAGGTCCTCTACATGCAATAATTATCAGGCAAACCCCCCAACAAGATACGAATTCCCCATGGGAAGCTTTCCCAAAAAAAGTCATTTGGGAATATTGAACCATTCCCCATGGTCATTTGGGAATATATTGAACCATGACAGAAGGGCTTGTACGGGACCAGAACCCCTACGGCTCGATTTCGCTCCCCCCCTCCTCCATGGCTCGACTGCGAGGAGAGCAGCTGGACGGAACCCAAGTGGTGCCAACACTGCGGCGGCTTTTTGTGGGGCGCCTGGAGGCGACGTCTCTTCTTTCTTCCCGCGCGACTTCCCTGGACGAAAGGAAACCCCGCGGGTCTCGGCGGGTCTCGGCGGGTCTCGGGGTTTCGTGTTCTCTTTTTTTTTGTCTCTGTGTGCGTGTGTGCTTAAAGGGGCGATCGTTTTGTGTTAGTGTGCCCCCAACAAAGGGGTTTTGCTTCGGGGACCCCCCCCCCCCCGGTTTTTGTTGTGCGTCCTTTTACCCCAATAAAGGGGGGGCACCGCTTTTGGGGACGGCCATTCTGGCAAAGAACGCGTTTGCACTTTTTCGGGCGAATCCAACTGAAGCGAGTGAAAGTCAAGTACCCCGAAACAAGGTTCCCATCTTGTTCCGAGTCCCGGGATCTCAGATATCATTTGCACTGTGGAATTTTGACGCAAAGCTCACCTTTTCCCGGGGTAATTAATGCTGTGGATGGTTGCGAAATCCGCTTCTTGCACCACCGTGCAGAAACCCCGGTGCTTGCTGATACCCCAACGGTAATTTCCAACAAGCGTTATGGTTTCAACCATGGTTTCATTTCGTGGTGCGAACGGATTTCGCAACCATCCACAGTGTGGGGGCTTCTCAACATAGAAAACGGACCCCGAAGGATGGTTTGCTTTTGGCTTCCCAGAAAGTGACAGGTCTTGAAAGCCCATGAGGAAGGTGGTTGTAGCGAACATCTCCTCAAGAAGTGGCACGCCCAGCAAAAAATGGCTGTATCGCCGATCTTCCATTTGCTTTTTAGTTTTTTTGTGTTTTCCCCCGTTGGTTTTACATGACATCTATCCCTACTGGACACATTTAATATTTTTCTCCAGGGGACTTCAGCAAATGGAGGGTTGGTTTTTCTGAGCTTTGTGTAGGTCCTTCTTTACATCAAGAGTCCTCAAAGGGAAGCCAGAAGACCCACCCAGACTTTGGGGATTCGCGCATTTTGACCCGTCATGTTGGAAGTTGGCAAGAGCTGGGAAGGTAGTTCGTCACCTCCAGGGTTGTGGAATCAAGGGGTTTATTCCCACTTCAATCAGAAACGCGAGGAAGCCCAAACCCTAGCAACCCCAAGCAAACCCGCGAGGCGACTGGGGAAAAACGCCATTTGGCGACTAGGCACTGGCCATCCGGTTCCCTAGGTGTTGAGGCCTTTTTCCCCTCAACCACTAAAAGTTATTCACCTTTCGCAGGGGATCGAAGGGGTTCCCTCGCCCAGCACGACCCTTCCCTCGCCCAATTTTATTGCAACCCTTGCAACCAGATGAGAGTTGTTTCCCTGTTGGTTGGCTTTTCCGGGAAACCAAAAGGACACCACACATTTTAGGGGACGCCTGTCTTGAGAAATGCCCAGACGGCTTGTGGTTGGTTTACTCTCGGGTCGTTCTGTGTGGGTAATCAAAGTTAGCACCTGGGGTTGGTTCCCTGCAAGGTTGACTTACACCGAGAACCTTCGGGGGACTTCTGCCGGGATGGCTTGTGCATGGTGGGTTTTGCCTGACAAGTTTTGAGATCGGCACGCTTAAGCACCACGGGCTTCACGGGCACCACGGGCATCACGGGCACGGGCTTCACGGGCACCACGGCCACCACGGGCACCACGGGCACCACGGGCACGGGCTTCACGGGCACCACGGGCAGCACGGGCGGCGGGCAGCACGGCACCACGGGCAGCGCAGGCAGCACGGGCACCACGGGCATCATACGCAGCACAGGCAGCACAGGCTCCACGAAGGCTCCACGAAGGCTCCACGAAGGCTCCACGAAGGCTCCACAAGTACGTGCCCGCGAAAACAAGAAAACCCATAAGGAACTTCAAAATCTTCAAAGCCAACATCTCTAAAATACTGGCGAGCTGCACAGAAGGCCACCCAACGAAAGAGAGAATGAAAACACTGTAGGTTTGCAGAACAGTCGAACGGTTAACGAGCAATCCAAGCGCCACGCCCCCAGTTCCAGGCCAAGCTACACAACGGAGCTGCTACTTTAGGTTTGCTCCTTGTCTCCCCCCAGCCTTCGTCGAGGCAACTAATTCTTGACAGCTTCGCGCCAGGCTTGCAAAGACTGATGCTAAAACGAACTAGCACAAGATAGAGTCAATTATCACGATGACATTTATGGCCCAGAGGTTCATGAGTCAGATGTTCTTGTATCACTGTGTACAAACAATTCAAGGTTGAAGCATGACATGATTACATGTCGCTTTGGCTCAACGAAAACAGCGCGTTGCACGCGCTGCCCACAAGTTAAGGGAGAGGTCGCAGTCACGGCGGGGTTCGTTCCTTTCAAGGTCCCGGGTTCCCCCGTTGTTGAGAGAACTGTGTTTCCCTCTCCTTTGAGTGGTTATCAGCCGTAACGCTTTTCGGGTAAACAAACCCTTCCGTGACTGCGACCGTTTGGTCGCACATGGAAGTCGGCCCTCACCGCGGCGTTCGCGGTGGGAAAGGGCCGCGTGCCCGTCTGTTCAACACCCTCCAGCAGATCATCGTCGACGAATACTAAAGCAGGATCGACGCTTCCGGTGGGTCAGGTTTGCAGACGCTTCAAAGCAACAGATTGAGGCTCTCTTTTCCTGGCGTGAAACATTGGATAGTTGGCACTTGTGGTATTTCGACCAAGAGGTCTTTGAGATCATCCAGGCCGCGGACAACGCTTATCAGCAACGTCTTGCATCGGTTGAAACCGCGGGTGCGGTAGTGCCACAAGGAGTTCAGGCGCAGGATAGAGCCGCAGCCTCTGGCGCGGCGGGAGCAACAAGCAGTGCTGCGGATTGGCTACGACCACCTACGCCTCCTTCTGCTTCATCCTGGTTGCAGGACTCCCGCACTCCATTGCCTCGTCTCCGGCCATCTGCAGAGGAAAGGCAAGTGTTGCGAGGTGCCGCCAAGACAGCACTTCGCGGGGTGTACGCTAAAGCTGCGGAAACGCGGCAGGAGAGCAGCAGGGAACGATCGTCGCAAAGATCGAGGTCCCCATCGTCTTCGAGACAAGGACCGACTGCTGCTGCCCCTGTGGAACCTAGGGCGCATAGTGTTGAACCCGCGCTTGCGCGGGAGGGCAGACCATCCCGGACTTCCCTTGCTACACGGCCCATTGTTTGCGCTCCACAGAACAGTATATACCCTGTGACACGATTTGACGAGCACGGCGCTTGGGTACTCGTTCGGGAGGCTTCACAGCCGCGTGAGGCGACATCTCACCGCCGAGCACAGCGGACATCCCGACATCTCCGTCAGGCTGACCCGTATTCGCTTGCGGACGAGACATGGAGAGATCCCCCAAGAAGATCATCCACAAGCTCGCGATCACGATCCCCAGATCGACGCCCAGGACCAGCGGAGCATTATCGCCTCGACGCCTATAGCTCAGAGGAGGAGCCTCCGCAGGACGCGGAAGCCCTTACAACTGGCAGGGCGGCTTACGTGCCTCGGCGCGTATACGAGGCACCGACACACACTGAGCCTATTGCTTTGCATAGCAGGAGGATTGGAACAACACAGCAACCGCCATCAAAGGCCGCACCAAAGATCATTTTTGGCAGCAAGCCTCCATTGCCCAAGGAACTTCCTCGTGCAGCTTCTTCGGTACCGGCAAAAGCAGTTATTCCTAGAAAATCACCTCCTCGAGCAAGGTCTCCTATTCGGACTCAGAGTGCATTCGGGTACAAGGCGCCTCCGCGAGGTCTGAACAAGGCCGAACCCAGAAGCAAGTCAGGTTCAAACCCACCACAAGGCTACATTGTCAAGCCGCCGCCGCCACAGGTCGTTAAAGCAGCTGCTTCAAGCGCTGCAACTTCCCAGGCCGGCATACGCTTTCGATCGCCACCAAGAAGGCCGCCGCCAGCGCCACCACCGCCGCCTGCAAGGCCTGTGCGCACCCAAGGAGCTCACCATCGCTCTGGATTGGCACGGGGTATTGGACGTCGGTCAGCAAGGCAGGGCGACTTTTCTTGAGTGGCTCACTTGAGCGTTTCGCAACCAGCTGCCAATCCAGGGAAATCCCCACGTAGCACCTTTTGACACGCTGCTCAAAGCGCGTGGAGCTGGCTTCGAGTGAGTGCAAAATTGCATTGCTGAGTCATGACTTCAACAGGCTTATCCCCGCCCTCGGAGCCCCGTTCAAGGTCAACCCCAAACAGGGATTCTGAACCGGATGACCTTGATTTAGCCATGGTACCTGCGGCAATGTCCACAATGCGCACATCCACACCTCAACGAGCAGCCCAAACACGACCATCATCACCTCCAAGTGGTCCGATCGTGTCAGAACCTACATCATCCGAAGCTTCCCCAGCCATTCAGTTTCCTTCACAGGGATCACAAGTACCCGACCCGATGACTAACGTACCGGCTGCGGCCTTTATTGCTGGAGCTGCGGTGCAGCAAGCTCATCGAGCATCCGACCTCGCTGCTCAGGCAGCCAATCATGCCTTGCACCAACAGCAAGCCGCCGACCAGGCGAGACAAGAGGCCGGATGGATCAGGGAAAGGGCTGTAAGGGAAGTATCCGACGTTAGGGTTCAAGCCGCTCAGCTAGCTTCGCAAGCCCAGCAGGCTGTACAAACAGCACAACAGAGTGAGGCTCAGGCTAGGCAGCTAATCGAGCAGACCCGACAGGAAGCCATAGGCCATGTCGAGAACGCACGTCAGGTTGTTAATGCTACTCAACAGGACGTGCTGGTGCAACTTTCGACCCAAGTACTCATGGACAGGCACACTCTGACATCTCCTCTGCAAAACACAAGCACCCGCCCAAGCATCCGCACGGGGTTCGCCCGCGACCGCAACGCATTCGCACAGAGCCACAGCGAGAACGCTTCGACGCGCAGGGTCTCCGCAGAGGCAACGCCGAGGTCAAGACATATTCGAAGCGCGCACCTCGAAGGTTCGCCGAGGTCAACACAGCGCCGCGACGAGAGCGCTTTGACGAAGAGTGAGGGCGCATCGACGCGCGCAATCTCTACAAAAGATTCGCCGAAGTTGCGGCACATTCGCACGGCGCCACAGC